TATACTCGGCTAATTGTTTCTTTCTTAACAAAAGAGAGGGTTCAACCTAAAAGGGGAAAGGGTAAGATGAGAAATGACGGTGATGCAGGAGTATGATGGAGCCAGCTCAGGCTGGGTTCCAAGAGCCAATTCTTAAATTTTCAGTGCGAGCATCTACAACTAGAAATTGGCAAATGCTACAAATCAAGGCTTGATTTCTCATTTTGTTGATCATCCAGAATATTTAAAAGTGATAGAAAAAAATGTTAATAATGCTGATTCAACTTTAAAATGTGTCCTGAGTTTCCAGCATATTGCTCAATATGATGGATAAAAGGAGTCAATAAACTGAATTTTTAAAAAGATTTGGTGGGAGAGACATTCAGAAAACATTTTAAAAAAGAGGTTTCTAGGAGATAACAATATACACACACATACACACTCTCTCACACACATACTACTTGAGAAATTTCTGGGTTTGTGGGGATTCCTTGCATATTCACTGCTTGGTAAAGTGCACGGCCACCAAGGATCACCTGATTATATGGAATGGAATAACTAATATTACTGTGATTATTAGTAAGACACTTTCTAATTACTCCAAAGAAGGCTTAAAGTGTGGGAGGGAGGAGGGAAGGGGGCGGGAATAAGGTTCTTTCTTCCAGGTGTTTTTGTTTGGTCATACAAAAAGCACCTGTAGACTATGGATGAAACATACTATCTGCCTCTGAGAGAAAGAGCTAATACTATCTGAATACAGACTGAAGCATGTTATTTTTCACTTGCCTTCCTTTCTTCTTCCTTCCTTCCTTCCTTCCTTTCTTTCTTTCATTTATTCTTTTTTAAAATTTGAGTCTTCTTATACAAAATGACTAACATGGAAATATTTTAGTGATAGTACATGTGTAAATTATATCGGATGGCTTGTTGTCTTGGAGGGGGTGAAGGGAAGGAAGGCGGGAGGGTTACAATTTGGAACTCAAAAAAAAGTTTAAAATTTTTCTAACATACAACTGAGGAAAAATTATACATATATTTTAAAAGCACCTTTATAACATGTAATGCCAGCCATTCTTGGTTGCTGTTGTCCTTCTTAGCTGCAATTATGGTAGCCCTCCAGTCTTTGATGAAAGCTCGGTTTTTTATATGAATACAGAAAGCTTTGTTTAAACCTAAACCAAACAATCTCATAAGATAAACGCAGCTCATTTATTCTGGATAGCCATCTAAAGGTTTACAAAGAAAAAGCTCTTCTTGATATGGACAAACTAGGAATAAGAGCTATGAACTAACTACCCCTAACCTAGCACCCGTAGTGAGTCACTAGAATGTGTTCAGTAAACATTTACCACAAATGACCATAATCACAATTTATCTATAAGTCGGTTCTCTTTTTTCGCAGTGGTACAGAGGGAAGGAGGGCAAATTTGGAGTCAAACATTCTCCAAAACTTGACTCCCAGCTCTGCTACTTGCTACCTACATGACCTTGGGAAAATTATTTAATTCCTCTACACCTCATTTTCCTCATCTGTAAACACAAGGGATTGGACAAGATGACTTCTAAGATCTCTTACAGTGCTCAACTTATAAACTACTAAATAAATACAGGCAGATCTCTCCCAAAGATTTTATATCTAAGACCAGAGACAAAAGAAGGTCTAGCACTTAAACTGATGTCGAACTCTTTAAACAAAGGAGAGGGAAGCATTCAAGGTTTTGGATAATGGAACTGTTTTCGAGGCAAAAGGATAATGACATATGGCATTAATGGTACACCTTTCTCCTAACAATTTGAAGATTGTTAGATCTCCTAATGAATTTTACAAATCTCATGAGGAGAAGGGTACATAGCAAATCAAAATGGAAAAAAAAAGTTGAGGAACAGAGAAATGAATTTTGTAGTTCAATATTCTCAAATAAGTCATTAATGATGAGAAATATAGCTCATAGAATGCTGAATTTGAAGAATTGAACTTGAAGTCATAGGACCCAAGTTCAAATCCTGATCCCAATACTTTCTGCCTTTGTAATCATAGGTAAGTCTTAAACATCTATTGGCCTCAGTTTACTCATCTGTAAAATTAGAAAGTTGGACTAGATCATTTTTAAGGTTCCTTTCAAATCTAAATATATGATTCTCACATCCAAACCAAGAGCCTGGCCTCTAGATAATCGAGATATCAGGTTTTAGCTGTCACACTCCTATCACTGACAGTATCCTATTCTATTAATGGCCTTAGGTCAATGAGAACATTTTTCTCTTTTAAAATCACTATAACATACAGTTCGTTTCTTAATTATTTCAAGAAAATGAAGGCATTCACCATGATAGATTAGTTTCTCACCACTTGTTACCACATTGTATTTACATAAGAAAACTGCTTGTCTGGTTCTGTCTAAAATAACAGAAAGTTTTCAAAAACACAGATGGACCAAATGACCATAACTTAATTGAACAAGAGTAAAGAGTATTATGCTCTAGTGACACCAGTAACAAGAATTTCTGATATTCCTCACTTAAGTCCATTTACTAATGATACAGCACAGTAAACAACAGTGGTGTGAAAATGAAACAGAAATGGAGTACATAAGAACTCCTGCTGGCTGCATGTTGACTTAGTAGACCACATATCAATATTAACTGCTTATTATACTTTTATTTATTTGGTTAAATATTTCCCAATTTTTTTTAATCTAGTTCTGGCTGATCTCAGAAGTGTTGGACAAATGAGGACCTCAAGCCCTAAATTGTTTGAAACATCTGGTATAGGGGATAGAACGTCATCTTTGGGGTCAAGACTTCAGTACAAGACTAGCCTTAGACACATATTGCTGTCATTTACCACTTATGTGACCTTGAGCAAGTCATTTAACTTCTCTGGACCTCAGTTTCCTCAGCTATAAGAAGGGGTAGGACTAGATGACCTCTTAAGATCCCCTCCAGGTCTAAATATCTGATTCTAGTTTCATGTAGTGGAACCACGGACAAATCACTTAACTTCTTAGTTGTACTTAACCAGGCAACTCTTGTAAATGTGAAATTATAAATGAGATGCCAGTGTGAATCAGTAGAGGAAGTTTCCACACTGGGAGTTCCCTATATTGATGAAAGCATAGGTGTGAACCAACAACAACAAAAAATCCTCAAATAATTAATTCCTCAACTAGTTCTCATATAAGAACTTACGAGAAAAAATAGATCTTACATGTGTATGTTTTGTAGTGTACAAAGTATTTTCACATACATTGATATTTTCATGACTCTATGATATTATCAGTGTGGATATTCCCTTCATTGGTATAAATCACAACCCATCTTCATCCCGCATGATTCTTACCCATGCCTTTCTAATACAGTATAAGATACTATAATATCTAATACATAGGACATTCCCCATTCTTTTATTTAAATATATATCAAATTCATCCCTACCTAAATGGCTCAGGACTGTACCACTTTTGTATAACTGAATAGCATATTTTCAATAACATTGAGTTATAAAGTTCACCTCTCTGTGCCTCAGCTCTTTTTTTTTAATTTTGACTTGCATCTACCCACCTTCCTGGGCTATTGTGAAATAAAACCAAAAATTACCTTGGGGAAGTATCCTGGGCTACAAGTTATCTTTTAGTTATTAATAATTATTCAGCAGTGTAATACCATTGAAATAGAGCTGGCTTCAGAGTCAGAGGGCTTGGGTTCAAATCTGGCCTCTGAGATTTACTCTTTGGGTAACGCTTGGTAAGTGACAATCATCCTGGGCTGCAATTTCCTCAAAGAGGGGGTTGGATTAAATGACCTCTAAGGTCTCTTCCAGCTCTGGACCTATGATTCTAAACCATATCCTCAATAGCAGTAATCTCCAGGCAAGGAGTGCCAGGGAGAGGTCTTCAAATAGGCATTGAGGTTGTCCAAAGAGGATGGGGGAGAAAAAGGTCCTAGGAACCAATTCTTCTGGAGAGAGGTAGTAAATCTACAAAGCTTTTCAGACCCCAACCTGATAGGCACAAACCTGAGTCATAGGCCTTCGCCATGTTCACCCTAGCAATTAGCTGCTCCTGATATTCCTAAATCACCAAAAATTCAGATTAACTGATATTGGATAGAGAAGAGTTTACAGGGCCGTTCCATAAAAAATAAATGAGCATTTGGTATCTTTTTCTTCTCATGCTACCAAGAATATAAATGAGTACAGACACCAACAGTAACTACAGACGTATTGGCAGACTCTTGTCCTGTCTCTCCCTTCAACATTAAAGGGGAAGAAAAGGAAGCCAAGCGATCCTTAGGCCTTGAGATGCTGGAACAGGTCATATTCTCACGAGGATTTTTCACAGGTTGACATAAGATGGGGATTTAGCCCAGCGAAAAGCAAATGCCACAATAAAAGTTTCATGAAAATACAAAACCATCTTGAATTGAAAGAACTACTATATGAGATCAAAAACAAACCAATGCAATAACTTTTCAGACTTCCAAGCCCATACCTCCCCCTGAATTGTGCTTATACCACATCCAACATTTCTTTGAGAAAGTCTTCTCCAAACAGAACATATGAAACCAGACTGAGATTTTGAGAAAGGAAGTTTAATAATACAGTAATAGTTGGAGTATCATCCAGAAAAAGTGTACTGTAAAAATGTTTTGAATATTAATTTACCTCAGGTCACTTTAGAGTTGTAAATACTTGCATTATAGTGAGGTAGACAAAAACAAAAATCTCCATTAGACAGAATTTAAATTTTGTAATATTATTTAAGGAAATGATAACATTATGTAAGAATGAAATATCTGATTAATGCGTAACTTTGTACAACTCAAATATAAACTTTAAAATATTAGAAATTATAACATTTCGAGTGCATATAATGTTTTGTACATTAAAATGAAATGTATGCTGTTCATTTCCTTTTTGCACTTTCAGGCTGCTTAAATAAACAAATATATACAGTCTTAACATGAACAACAGTGCATCCAAAGCAAATGTGCATTTTAAATTATTGCTCCTGGCCAAGTCCTTTTTTTTTTTAGTTAGTATTTTATATTATTTTTATTATTATTATTCCCATCTTTTCTTCGCCAGTTTATAGTTCTGTGAACCAGACAAGCTAACAGGGTTAGACTGGAGAGAGAGAAAAATTACACAGGTGGGAAAAAACCTAGACCTCGTTTTCCCTTAGCTGTTCTCTTGGTTGAAGAAATTTCACAAGCCAAAGGTGGGAGCAAATAAGTCCTTTGGAGGACCTACTTTTTAGGACAATGCTTACAAATAATACTGGTGTAGGCTGGAGCGAGGAAGAAGGAGTTCATTTTCTACTCTGGAACTAAGGAATTAAACAGTACCATACCCAATTCCCTGCATTATGAAGACTGATTCCACCACCATCATCACCCATTGCCCCATTCCCCTCCCCATGTTCAATGTAACACTTTGCTCTTTTCACAGTTTTTCATTACTAAGTTTTAAAAACATAGCCTAACTAGTAATTACAATCTGAAACAATTCTTTTGGGGGTGCCCTAGGCGATTTCTGGCTGGTAATCTTTCAGGAATGTCAGAGAGAAAAAGGGAGAAACTTTTCAGATAAACTTCAGAGAAGAATTTCTATATTCCTGGATCCTTTCTCTCTGCTTCTCTTCCTTTCATTCCTTTTCTCTTCCTGTGGCAAGATTAGACCTTCCCATCTTGCTGAGTCGGGTGGGTTAGTTACCACCATCTCCCCTCCAAATCTGTCCCTTGGCTTTTTCCCCCCAATCCTTCTCCTCTAGCTATCCTCTCTCACATAGTTCTTTCTCTCTCCCTCCCTCCCCCACCTCCCCAACCCCACTCATCCCCCTCTCTCCTTTCACTTGATTGTTTTTTGTACTTGGGAAATTGCCTTCACCTTAGAAGGAGACCTGGATCATCAGATAATCCTGAAAGAAAGAGGCAGCTAAGGGGACGAGGGGGAGGGGAGGGGGAGGGGGGAAGGGAGGGGGGAGGGGAAACAATTTCACTGGGGGTCCTTTGCCTCATTTCTCTCTTGGCTTTGTCCATTATCCAACCTAAACTATCCCTGGCTTGAACTGATTCTTGTCACTCTATCAGGCATGAACTCCCCTGTTCCCCCAACAACAAAAAAAAGAAAAGCTTGCAAAATAACCCATATCTCCTCAGAACTGGAGCCCCACAATCGGATTCTGATAGTACTGAGAAAGGGACGGTGGGCAGTCGTCGGAAGCTGAGGGTAAGCAGGGAGGAGGTGTCAGATTGAGTGAGAAAGAGATTCAGGCCATTTGAGTTCTTGGCCCACTTATATTAAAATTGTCTTGGAAGGTGGTGCTTTTAAGGGAAGAAGATTCTGAACAAGGCTTCCGGGTCTTTGGAAGGAAGGGGTAGAGATTTTGCTGTTTTAGGATATTCTGTTTGGATGGCCACAGGGAAAGTTGACTTCACCCAGAAAGGAAATAAAACTCAGCATGGTACAAAAACAGAGAAGATTGGGATGTGGTTAGAGGATGAATTCCCCCACCCCCACAACACACACCCCGTTTTCTTTGTAAATAATAATTTTCAATCCATGGGACAGCTGTGAAACACAGCCCTGTTTCCTCTCCCCACCCCTATTAAAAACCCGTGAGACACACAGGTGCTTCAAGGAAATTGAAAAAGCAATGACAACAAACACGAAGCAAATCCTTGACTTGTTTTCCAGGGTCGCCAGGCAAAGTGTGAAAGTCCATTTCCCTCTCTCTAGGTGAAAGGAAGTGCTCAAGGCAGGCTCCAATGCGGTCGGTGCCCCAAGGCCACCACCTCCCTCCGCTTCCCCCTCCTACTCATCCTCTCCTGCAATCCTCCAGGTCCATTTTTCAGGGTGATTTCCCCCCTTCCATCGGGCAGCTCTCCTTCTCCCTTTTGCAGTCCTCCCCTCCCGTCCCCGGGCCGAGACGGCGGGAAAGGCGGCGCTACCTACAGCCGCAAGACTCCACCACCATGTCCTCGTACTGCTTATAGACCACGTTGTTGCCCGCGTCGATGTAGAGGATGCTAATGGGAGTCAATTTGGTGGGCACGCAGCAGCTGGGTGGGGTGGAGCCGGGATCCATGGAGTTCATGAGGGTCTGGATGATGGCGTGGTTGGTGGGCTCCAGGTGCGAGCGGAGGGGAAAGTCACACACGCCCTCGCAGTGGTACGCCTCGTACTCCAGGGGCGCGATAATCCAGTCGTCCCAGCCCAGCTCCTTGAAGTTCACGTGCAGGGGCTTCTTGCTGCAGCGGAGCCGCGACTTCTTGCCGTGCCGCTTGCCGTGGCGACTGGCGAAGGCGGTGCGCCGCCGCCGCCGGCCCTGCGAGGCCAGCCCCCAGCCAGCGTCTCGGACGCCCGCGGGCGGCGACAGCGGCGGGGGCGACGACGAGGGAGGCAGCCACGCGCCCTCGCCCCCCGCCGCGGCCGTGGCCGTGGCCGCGGCGGCTCCCAGCTGCTCGCGCATCTCGGCGAACAGGTTCTTGCGCTTGGATTTGGTGAACACGACGAGCAGGGCGCGCTCCTGCGGCGGCCGCACCCTGCGGCCGAAGCCCAGGCTCCGCAGGTCCAGGGGCGGCTCAGCCTGAGGCGGTGGGGACGACGGCGGGGTCTCCCCGCCGGGCTCCCCCCAGGCGACCCGCAGCTCCAGACAGAGCTGCTTCCAGGGCTGGTGGCGGCGCAGGCCCTGCCACACGTCGAAGACCTCCCAGCCGGCTTGGGGCGCCCCCTGCGGGTCTAGGGTCCGGGCGTCCAGCATTCGGGGGGACAGGCAGGAGAAGAGCTGCACGTGGAGTGGGCCGCCCGGGGGCCCAGGGGAAGCCGGGGGCGCCTGGCGAAACAGCCGCAGCTCCGCGCCCACCAGCTCTTCTTTGTCTGAGAGCGTCGACACATCAAACAAATACTTCTGTCTCCTGAGAGGAGTGTGCGAGAGATCGTCTGCGAGATAAAAAATAATTACAGTCAGTTTCACTTAAGGGGGAAATCTTCCCAGTTCTCTCTGGCAGCCCCCTGGGAGGAAAAGCAGGGGCTGGGGGAGGGGACGGAGGAGGTTAGAGGTGGGGGAGGTGAACGAAGCCGTCCCAGGTAGTTGGGCAGCCCTGGGGCCTTACCACCCCCAGAGTTACCAGGTCCTAGCCTGAAAGAGTACTGGGGTCGGGCGAGGGAGGGGTGGGGGGGTGGAGAAGCCGTGGCCTGAGATAATCCACCCTCCCAGTCCGCTTTGGGCAGTTTAAGCTGGGGGCGGAAGTCAGACAGGAGCTGCAACATCTTCACAGGCCTTTTTCCAGAAGGTGGAAAAACCAACAGTTTGCCTTTTGTTACAATGTAAGCTTCTCTCAAGAAGGGATTGTTTCTTTCTTTGTACTTGTATCCTCAGCGCCTAGCAAAGTGCCTGGCATATAGTAGGCACTTAATAAATGCTTATTGATTGATTGAAGGGCTTAAAACCAATGCAGAGGACTGAGAGTTTTTTTCCCTTCAGCTGCCTGGACCTTCAAACAAGGGAAATGAAGCAAAAAAGAAAGGGAGGTCCCTTTCTCCAAATGATTCAGCCCTCATTAAAAATAAAATAAAATTTTGGACATATCAGATTCAGAGCTTTAACAATCCAGATCGGCAGTTTGCATGAATCAAATTCCTTGGCGTTTGCCTCAGTTCTCCACTTAATACTGGAGTAGACAACCGAGGACTACCTCCAAATAGAAAGCATACGTGGACATACCAATTATGCATTGGGAACCTTAGGTGTATTCAGAATAATTGCGGCCTTTGGGTAAGATGCATTCAGAAGGGATTTCATGCATCCACAAAAACAATGACATTTACAACATCCAACCAGAAATCCTCTTACTTTTACTCTCCAATAGGTTCTAGAGATAGACTTTCAGGACACATTCACAACTAGGGAATGATATTTGGGGCAACATAGGGGAAGATAACTTTTACAATCCAAAGAAAATACTCTGGGACCTAGGTAAACCTGGACTTCTTTTTTGACACGTTCGTGCACGAAGGCCAACACCAAACCAAAGTGCAAGGCGGAAAGCTAACCAGATTTCCCCCAAACTGCCTTCTCATAAAATGTTTACAACCCAGCAAATACAAAAATCCCCAAAGCCCCGGGCTTTCCCCAGAAGCTAGTAAAGTTTAGGTAGATTTCAATAGTAAAAGTGTCACTGGAGCCTGTGTTCAACCCTTACTGCCTTTCCAAACCCAGCTAGAACCAGAACTAGAAATAGAGACTAAAGAAACACTCTATGCCTGCCCTTTATACTTTTCAGAGGCGGTTGCTCTCTAATAGGGCACATGCCCCAACCTGAAATGGAGCAGTGGAAAGGGTTAGTGAGATAGGGGGAAAAAAAAAGAGGGGGGAGGCCTTCTGGAGAGGACAGCCAGTTGATTTATGGGAGTCGAGACCTTCAGACCAACCAGGGTCACATCAAATTCAACAGGAATTCAACATTCTCTCCTTTCTACCTTCTTTAAAGAGCCCTGAGTTTGGCCCTGGATTCAGCCACTGATGTAGTCAAGTCTCGGGACCTCTCACCTGGAGGCTTCATTTTCCTGCCCCAGAAACCTAATCAATTCCTGGCTTCTCACAGCAAGAGGGATATAGAGAAAGAAAAGTGTCTTTTAAGATGTTTTAAGCCCTCCCTATATATACTATAGTAATATCTGGACTACAGAAGAGGTATGAAAGAAGCTAGCCAAAGCCTTGTGACTTTTCTTTCATGGAAATTACAAAAAAGATTAAACAAAATTTAATAGTCAGCATTCCCTTAGGAAATAATTTCCACTTCTGTTTTTGTAAGCCTTCAAAATAACCAGGTTTTGGCCCTGTTTGTGATAGGTCAAGACCTTGATTTCTATTTATTTTGCTCACATGGCAGCATGGATTGGAGAGAGCTTTTTTTTTTTTTAATAAAGGTTGGTAAATAGGCTGCAGCACTGAATGAGATCCTCCTGGTCTGGACCATCAAGAGTAGAACTCATAGCTTTGGAGCAAAAAATATTTGGTTAAATGGTGAACTAGTAACAGTACTTCTCTTTTCTGTTCTCATTCTTTCTTCTTCAGTTTTTGTCACTGTCATCAAGTGATGAATGACATTGAACATGTCCTTTGTAGGTCCTTCAGAAAATTTAGGACAACAGCACACATTCCTCTACCTGCCTTCAACTGTTCTACTAACCCACAAAAACCATTTCGTTAATTTGAGGTCTACAGAGTTTTGAGTCCCTTTTATCCTTGTCAGAAGGCTGCAGTGCCAGGACACCCCACCCTAATCCCCACCAAACTCTGGCTTTGTGACCTGGCACCTTGGTGAGTTCTACTACCTACTTTGGGCAGTATTGTTGTTGTTGTTCAGTTGCGTCTGACAGAGTCCAGGTTTTCTTGGCAAAGAGACTGAAATGGTTTACCATTTCCTTTTCCAGCTCGTTTTATGGATGAGGAATTGAGGCAAATGGGGTTAAGTGACATGCCCAGGGTCACACAGCTCACGTCTGAGATTTGAACTTAGGTCTTCCTGATTCCAGGCTGGGTGCTCTATCCACTGCACCTCCTAGCTGTCCATTGAGCTGTACAATATAGGGAAAAGAAAACCTAGGTTCTCATTTCACTTGTCACTTGCTAGCTGCATGACAATCAGCAAGTCGTAACTCCTCCAGGCCCTAGTTTCCTCATCTACAATATAAAGGGGTTGGCCTAGAGGAGCTCCAAGCCCTTTACCTTCCTTTAAGGAAACAGAACAGGGGCTGTGCTTGTACCTTAACACTCTCCTCAATCCATCTTGAAACATAACCCTTACTCTTGGATAATTACTCTTCAAGAAGTGAATCTTCTGCTTTAAAGATAATTAAAATGCAATTAGATCATTAGGTCATAGGAGGAGTGCATTTTTTTAAAACTTAGCATTAACATGGTTTTGAACACCAAAATGCCTCTAGCTAACACAGTAGTTTTTGAGAGGTGAACTCAACAAAATCTAGACTCAACTAAGTCTCTCTCTGAGGAAGAGGAGGAGGAAGAAGAACTAAATTAGTACTACATGTCTGAGGGGAGATCTTCAAAAATAAAAATCTTTCATTTAAAACAAGACACCTCAGTGATGTGGTGGATAAAGTGCTGAGCTCAGGAAGACCTTAGTTCAAATTGTGCCTCTTGTTAGCTATGTAACCTTATGGAAGTCACTTGCCTTCTCTCAGCCTCAGTTTCTGCAACTCTAAAATGGAGATAATAATAGCACCTATCTTACAGGGTTGTTATGAGGATCAAATGAGGTAAGGTATGTAAAAGCAGCCTGTAAACTCTAAGTGGATGGAGCACTGGGCTTGGAATCAGAAAGTTTCATCTTCATAAGTTCAAATCTGGCCTCAGACACTTGCTGGCTGTGTGACCCTTGACAAGTCACTTAACCCTGTTTGCCTCAGTTTCCTCATCTGTAAAATGAGCTAGTGGAGGAAATGGCAAACCACTCCAGTATCTTTGCCAAGAAATGGGGTCACAAAGAGTCAGACACAATGAAACAAAACTTTAAAGCAATATAGAAATGTTAACTAGTATTATTGTTAAATAAATTGATTCCCTTTTGGATAAAGGCAAATTGAAGTCAGTTCTCTTGTACCACATTGTGGCTGCAGCAAGGAGTGTACCACACTCAGGGTTCAACTCACCAGTCACCTCCTCCCTCTCCCAGTCCCTCCCCAAAGGAACATGCCCTGAGGCCCACTCTCCTGCCTGGAGAACTCCTAGCTCAGATCACTATTTATTGAGGAGCCACAGACATGCTCACAGACCTCTCCACCTCCTCACCGGATACCTTGCTTTGCCCCACCTTTCCAGCCCCCCTTGATATATTATCTTGACCAATAGGATGCACTGGTGGTGCTGAATTAGAGAAAAAAAAGTCTGAAGAAGGAAGTAAGAACGAAAGAAAAGGAAGAGGAAAAGAGAGATGGAAGAAGAAAAGAAGAAAGGACAGAAAGAGGAGAAAGAAAGAAAAAAAAATCAGTGCAGAATCTCAAAGTGACTGTGAAAGCTTTTAGCATTTCCCACTGTGACTAAATTATCTATTATGCACACAAATTAAATCTTTGAGTTTCTCTCTGCTGGGCCATAGTAGTCATAAATGAGCCACCACTCAGAGATGATATCATGCAGTGCAAACAGGCCGCAATTTGGAGATTTGAAGTCATGGGAAACTGGGTTCAAAACTCAGCCCTGATACTTATTACCTTGGGCAAGTCACCTAATCTTTTGGGGTCTCAGTTTCCTCATCTAGAAAAGAAGTGAATCTATGTGAGCCTATATAGATCCTACCTATGAATATATGTATGGGGAAGGGAACCTGCAGGAGGCAAAAACAAAAAACAAAAAACCCCACAACCCTCTGGTGAACAGAGTCATTGCAATATCTCTTGTGCTTCTTATGCCCCCATGACCCATCTCTGGCTTGATCTCTGAAGATCCAGACAGTCTAAGAGAGAAGCAAAATTGCCTCTCCATTTGGGGCTCGATCCCTTTGGACTTAGTTTGGAGGGGAGGGCTAGAAAATTCACTCGAATGTAATCAAATTCATCTTTGTCCCTGTATTTCCAAAATTTTGGTTGTGACTTTATTGGGAAAAGAGAACAAAAATATGAGATTTTATTTTCCAAGGTATTGCTCAAATACGTGGTCACATGACAGTCTGAGTTTTTCTTTGATGGATTTACACATTTTCTCTCTTACCAGCCTGACCTGTTAACAGATAGGCAGTACAGACTGCAGGCTGAAACTCCCACCATGCTTGGGAGGTATACCTTTGCTGAGCTGAGCCAATCAGCAAATCCTAGGAAGAGGTGCAAGGGGGTAGGGGGAGGCTGAGGTGGGAAAGGAAAAAGAAAGCTGCTTTTAAACAAAATCAGAACCCAAGGCTTCAAAATCCTCTTCCCAACTTTTCACAAGTACCACCAGCAAAGAAACTTCAAATCTCTATTTCTCTCCCACTGCTGCATTAGTCTTTTGTTTTGTTGTGGTAAGGAGGGAAAGGAGGCTGTGCAATGTCATAGGTTATTGATGCATTCTCATAGAGTTTCCAGAACTGAGAGGGGGCTTAGACATCATCTTACATTTTACACAAGTAAACAGTGAGACCCAGAAGCTGGGATTGTCCAAGATCTCACAGCTAGTGAGAAACAGGAATAAGACTCAAACAAAGGTTTTCTGACCAGAATTTGGACCAGGAGAAGACAAAAGCACAACATGTGAGAGGGGAAGAAGCTGGAGT